GTTTGAAGACCAATGTCCTTGTGGGAGAAGATGACATGTTAGTAAAGTCTTGTCTGTGTTGCCGATAGCACTCTTGGAACTCCACCAGATAGAATGCAAATATGATAGTTTTTTCTTTATAGGACCCTGCTCAAGGAGGGAGACTTGGCTTTCTGTTTGAAATGGGAGAAGAAGAAAGAAGGGATATTTGTGTAACAGAAGAATAATTGGTAGGACAGGTGGGCATAAGGTGGTTTTGGAGGGTTACGCTAAGTAAGAACATTTGCCTGTCTGTGTTTCTTAAGTACCAATGGCCTGTCAAATTAATTAATTATATTTCACACAGCAGTTATTAAACTGAGGGTTCTTTTTAATGCTGTTATTGTTCAGTATAAATTTTAACCATTACAGGATTTGAATTATAAGGTAACTGAGTGTTTTATGGACATGGAAAACTTCTGCCTCCTGGAATCACCACATGCAGGTGTTTCTGCAGTGTTTGAGACTTTTTTTTTTTCTTCTCCAGAATCATCTTGCATCCAACAGGCTAATAAATTTTACCTATATATGTGTGTTGATCTCAGATTTGTGTTTAGATTGGCTAAAAGTCTATCTTTAGGATCAGGTCTGAACACTTTTAATTTTATGCATTCATTGACTTCTGTAGGATTAATTACATAGTCACTGTTGTGCTTAGATGGTTTTTAGCTTAGACTCAGGATTACTAGAAAAACTGGCTAGGAAAGTCTGTATGTATTATGAGTTCAGAGAGCAGATCTGGGGTTTGGGGGTGGTGGTGGTTCTTTTCCATCTAGTTTTTAAATATAATTTTGGAAACCCCAACACCAGTATCATGGATCAGCATATTTTTGTGAAAAATCTTATAACATCAATATGAGGATCAAGTGTAAATTTCCTAACTAAGCCTTGTATTTGAAATTCAACATGTAGTGCATGCAAAGTGTGAATATAAAAATGATTGTACTGGATCAAATAAAAAGCCAGTCTGTTCTAGCAGCATGCCTCTGATAGTAAGCAGTAATGAATGCTTAGGGAAAAGTGCAAAAACAAGGCAAACATGATGTTAATACTATTTGACTACTTTACTGCACACTGCTGCAACCTGACAGCTTGAGCTTTTTGTTTTTCCTTTTGACTGTGGCTTAAATTAATAAAAGATACCACCTTACTTCTAATAGCTTCCCCTCCAAACTCTGACTGATTTCCTAAAATTCTTTCCTTTTAACTCTCAATATATTGTCTTTTAATCATTGTCTCAGTCAGTAAAGACTTTACTCTTTCTGTTAAAAAGAAACTAAGCTGCCACCAACTTCTTCATATTTTTGTAGTTCCTCTTTTAAATTTAATCTTAGTAATGGTGTACTTCTCACTTTTATTGTCTCTGCAGAGATAGTGAATTCAAAATCACTGTGATTCATGAGCAGTTGTGGATAGCGTCTTCTATTTAGTCTTCAGATAACACCCCCAATTTAGAGTTTTCCAGTCTAAACTGGTTAAGCAAAGAATTCCTAAAATCTCACTTCTAGAGGAGTTGTCATTTTAAATCATCTGTGGTTCTGCATTTAGCAGCTTTCCTTGCTTCTTCAGTTCATTAACCCTTACAAAACCATTCTCATTTTAAGATCCAGCAATGTGCTTCCATTTTGATTGAGATGAAGTCTGTCTTGTTTCTAGAGGAATGTTCTATCCAGAAGTTTCCTCCTTTTTTCTTACATATATTCTCAGTCATTCATCGGGTTATTAGTCTTCAAAAGGTACCTAAATTGCATAAGCTTCACGTCTACATTTTATTTAGCATAATAGATGAACTAATTTTATAGATTTTTTTTTTATTATTATTATTTATTTGGCTCATTGTGAAAACATTTCTGGAGTAGAAGTCATTTTCCAGTTTGGATAAAGAATAGCATTACTTGTTTTTAAAAAGCTTCACATCATTTGATGTGTGAATATTGTGGAAAACTATACACTTGAATCTTTTTCTTTAGAAAAATCGGCACCCCTGGGGCTATTCTAATACTGTTTTGCAATTAATGAAAAACTGCTTGGAAGAGAAGTCCTACTATCTTCCAACTCTTTATTTACCTTTTTATTTTATTATTGACAGGTAATGGTAGCATTTCCTATTTCAATAGGACTTCTGTCTTTCATAATGGAAAAGTGGAAGGGAATTGTTTTCAGCAGTAATATATACCAGTTACACAATATTTGCCTATTTTCTTCTAATGTGAAATTGTGTTGGTTTTGTGCAAGGGTGCACTAGGGGACTTCAGCCAGACTGTGTTAATGTGATTTTTGTTAGACCAGGCTCTACAGAAACCACAGCTGGTTTTGTACTGCCTATGGAATATTACAATGCTGGTCTACTGATGACCCAGAGCAGAGAGTTGGTGCACAGTATAGTTGTTGTCTGGCCCACCTTTGGGTTTTATTTCTGCAAAAGAAACATTTTTACAAAAAACCCAAAAGTTGTTGTTTAATCTCTGTCTTTCCAAGATGTGTGGTTGGAGTATGGCTGGATGCACGTACAATAACAGAATTTTCATGGTGCTCTGGAATGTTGCAGTTCAGATATAACCTACGGTACTGCTCTTTGGATCAGTGGCAGTAGGGTGGGATTCTGTCATTTGTATTTTGTGGACTAGATCTTTATACTAGCCTTCAGTTGTCTTTCCAGCTGCTGATAAAACAAAATCAGGAAGAGACTTAGAGCTGATTTCTTCAGAATGGGATTGTATCAAAGACTGAGTGTTCATCATGTGGTGGAGGTTGTAAAATTGTGTTGGCAATAAAACTGTGTGCATCTTTTCTGCACACAGTTATCCCACTCTGCTGAATATTAGAATAAGAGAGCCTTTGTTTAACCTAAAGAGGGTTTTGCAGAAAATTCTTTCATTCGAAAGCTGCCGTTTTATTACAATGTTTTGAAAATTGATGTGGTGGAAAACAGAAAACAAAACTCAATATTGTGAAAACTTTCTCAAGCTATGCTAGATTTCTTAAATAAGCTTTTTAATTTTAGTTGGGATGTTTAGTTTTAGTGAACTTTATTCCATTTTTTCATTCAATTCGTTAAGAATGCCAGTCCTACAACATAAATCTTTCTCTTTCTGCTTCTTGCAGCTGGAGTTTGCAGAATTCAGCGTCAGCAGTAGATGCCCTGATCTCTAAAGGAAGGTTTTGTGATACTTTAGCTTGAGAATATTTCTTAGAAATGATGGAACAATGGAGTGACAGCCAGTTAGCTCACAAAGTTCACATTTTCTAGACTTCAGGAAGCAAAAATAATGCCACCGGAAGGTGATGTTTTGTTGTACCAGTCCATTTCATTTGATGGGCATCTGCAGCACGCTGTGTGGATGGCCCTCCCCACTGCTAGGCATACTGATGACTTGCATTCACCCTGTTGCATACCAGCATCACGTGTTCTTCTCTGCAAAGCTATCTTCTACCCTTTTGTCCTCCAGCCCACACTAGCGTGAGGAGTTGTTCTGCCACACATGCACATCTTTGCATTAGCTTTTATTAAACTGGATGGGGTGTCTGCCAGTCAAGGTCACTCTGGCTGGCATCCCATCTCTCCAGCACATGAGTTGCCTCTTTGTTCCCTCCAACTTGGTGTTGTCCATGCACTTCCCAAGGGCACATTCTAGCCTGTTTTCCAGGTTGTTGATGTAGATACTAAACTATATGGTTTCTAGTGTTGGCCCCAAGTGCTGCTTATAGCTGGTTTGCCAGTTGTACTTCAGGCTGTTGAGTTCTGTTCTTTGAACCTGGTGGTGACTTTGAGCCACTTTTCTAGCCCCTTTCTAGTCTGGTTTTTTCAGTCTAGTGTAGAATAAACTGTATGTTTGTTCCAGTGATAATGTGATGGGAGCTAAGCAAGAAATGCAGTTATTTTCAAGCAAGTGTTAAAAACTGAGAACTAAAGCCTGAAATAGCAAGGGATCTGTATTGCTGTTTTGTTAAAAGAGTTTGTTCAGCGTTTCTGAGAAACCACATCCTTTTGAAATATCTTGGGTTGGGAACCAGAATTACTTTCAAAAAGTAGACAGCTGTTCTGTGAGTATCTCTTTCTTCCAAGATAGTTTCATGGACTTCCCATGACAGAGGTTTTGGTAGTTAACTGATAATTTCCAGGATTCTTGGGTCACATCCCACTTAAGTTTTCTGATCTTTTTAAAGGTTTCATATAGTCAGAAATGGTATGCAATTTTTGTAGTGCACTGGTTTTTTGTATCTTCTGCATGCAGGCTTGCATAACGCAGTCATGCGTTGTCAAAATAACTCTAGTTCAAGTATTAGGTTCCCATTGTCAAAGATAACTCCTCTTAGGCTAGGCTAAATTGCATCCTTATTTTTATAGCTAAACGCATTTGGCATTGGATTTTGTGACTTTATTCTCTTTTTAGCTAAGTTATAAATGTGTAAGTAGAGAATGTCTCAATTACTGTGCTTGCAATAAAGAATATTTTTAGATGAGAATTGTAGTTCTTTAAAAACAATAAATATGTAAGGTTTTTTTGCAAACTTGCAGATATTTTGTGCAATGAAATTAGATTCTAATGTAGCTGTCAAACATGAAAAGTAATGTTTTCTGGGTTTGTACCTTGATGTACTGCTGTACCTAGAATTGGAGGGAAAAAAACCAAAAGTTGCACACAACAAAGACTGATAGAGGAGGGACAATTGTAATGGATATTCGGTTGCATCGTAAATGTTCTTAATTATGTAGTGGGTAATATATTCTTGAATTCCTATAATTTTTCTGTTTTATGTTATAACTGCATATCAAACAATAATATTTTAGTATTTTAAGTCTTTTTTGTGTATTAATTATATGCAGTAGCATCTGGTAAAACTGAATTATTTTACACTTCTTGCAACACCCTAATTTTTAGGAGCATGACAAGAATAACAGTGGGTACTTATATCTCCTCTTACTTCAGGGAAGCCATTGACTAAAAAAAGACATTCTTTTTTCTTTTGTTTCTAGATCTTTCAAAGAACAGATTTACTGAAATTCCTCCTGATGTCTGGCTGTTTGCACCACTGGAAACTTTAAATCTATATCACAACTGCATCAAATCCATTCCAGAATCTATTAAAAACCTACAAATGCTTACCTATCTTAACATTAGGTGAGTAATGCTTGTTATTTTTGGTCTTTATATAACTTACCTCATTGGAGAGGTGGCATTCTACTTCATCAGGTCATTGAGGGCCCTTGTGCCCTCATTTTTGCCCAGATAGATAAAATTATTGTTGTTTGTTTGCCTTATCCTTGGCCTAAGTCCAGTGGTTGTTGCTTCTTTTCTGGGAAGGAATTGACTGCATTATGAAATTTCAGTCAGTAAACTATGGTATCTGAGGATAAGGAGAGATTACAGAGTTTTTTGTTTTTAATGTTATGCAGACAGACAACATTTAGAAACTACACATGTAAAAACTTGCTGCTCTGGGGAGTAGATTATTCTGGCCAGAAGGCCCTACTCATTTTGCACATATTTACATCCATTGCTGTATTGCTGCTCTTAAACTTGGAAAAAATGTGGTTGGATCTTCTCAGAAGAACAGAAGGCTAATATGAGCTCTAGGAGGAGAGGGAATCTAGAACCACCCTCCTATAAAAAGCTGAGACCCTGTTTTCAACAATAGTCCTTGTTTGTTATATTGACTGCATCAAGTCCAAAACAGTCTTCTCAGCTAAGAGCTATTTATTTAGCATGGCAGATTTGGTTCCAGAATTTATTTTGGAAAAAAATTTGTCAATTGATCCTTGGAAAAGAAAAAAGTAAAAAAAAAAACAAACCCCAAACAAACAACCCCCCCAGAAACCCCCACCTATATCCAGAAATCTGCAAATATCAGTGCTTATATATATTGATAACTTCAGTGTAGTCTGTTCTGTGGCAGTTCTAAAGAGGATTAATGATACGATAAAGCTCAGTGTTTTCTGAAAGAAATTTGACCTAACTTTATTCACAGAGCAGCAACAGCTCATTTCTCTTTTTATGGTAATTGAAGTGTTGAACACAGTTCTTTACACAGAAATAAAGTAGCATGTAGTTCTAACTGGGCATTGCATGTTATTTCAAGAGTTGACTCTTCTGATAATCATTTGCCTTACTCTGCTTTGTCTTCATTTTTGTGCTAATGTCTGAGGACTGTTTTCACAATGCATGAACATGTGGACTACAGTAGCTGAAGAACAGGCTAAAATCCTGGCTTACGAGTTTCAGTATTTTGTTACAGAAGAAAACCACATGATCTCAAATTCTAATTTTGGATTGAGATGACTGAAGAAATGTATTGTGCAATTCATAGTAAAGTAGGCACCTCTTTAAAAAACAAAAAACCCGAGGAAATTGAAGTGATGCAGAGAATGACTGATTCATTGCCACATTTTTATAATCAATTTAAAAAGTCTGCTTGGACATTATATTTTAGCTTCTCATGCTCTCCATCCAAAAAAGCCTGCCATATCTGCCTGAAATACAACATTAAAAAAAAAGAGAGTTACTGCATACCTACATCAAAAACTTATTTCTATTCTTCAATTAGAATTAACAGAATAAATACATTATTTTTATAAAGATCCTGATAGAAGTTTACTTTCATTTTATGGTGTTGTATTGGGTCTGGCTGAGATGGAGTTAATTTTCCCCATAGCTGCCCTCATAGTGCTGGGCTTTCTATTGGTAGCCAGAAAGGGTTGATCACACAGCAGTGTCTTGGCTACTGCTGAGCAGTGCTCACACAGCATCAAAGCTGGCTCTCCAACATTCCCCCATACCACCAGTGGTGTTAAAATTGCAGTACTACTTTGAACCTGAAATGTTGCAAGGACATAGATTTATTTTTGTTGGTTTTGCAGCACTGTAAACGGTAGTCATGGAGAAAAATAATATAAAAAGCTTTGTTTTAAATGTGAAAACAGTGCTCTGATACATACCAATTAAACAGTAAAGCTGGTTTTTTTCTTAATTTAGTGTGAACAGAAATGTCAACACTTGAAAGTTTGAGGGGAAAAAAAAAATAGAACTTCTATCCTCCACACAGTTCTACTTAAAGCAACAGCAATTACTGAAATTTTTTTACTTTTATGTATGAAAGGAATAATTGCTTTCATACCACACCTGAACAAGTTGGTTTTCTGATGGCTTTTTTAAATGTACAAGTATGTTATTAGAAAACTTCTATGCATTTCTAGCAGTGGCAGTCTACAATTGGTAGTTTTTCCAATATGGATTTAAATCAAATTGTCAGTAACAGTATATTTCTTGTGTACAAAGCAGACATATGTGCATGCAGTTAGAAAATGATATACACACAAGAAATCAATTTTAATTAAAACTTACCTTTCTAGACTAATGCTGAGCAAAGTAATAGATGTTAAGAGCTTGTTGTGGTGGCTCAGGAGTGACAAGACCACATGTGACATGGGAAGCAATGGCCTTGTATAAAGTTCTGGTTTGCTGAGAACATTAACTTTATATTGGTAGACTGTCAGATCAGGTTGTCCTTCTGAAGGTATCAGAAAGCAGAATAAAAGCAAAAGCAAACATCAAACATATTTCTTCTAACAGATTTCTCTGTACATTTTAGTGTTAGATTCAGTTATAGTACGTACTCATTTCATCAAGCGAGATGGGGACCTACAATTCACATATCTGCGAGAAGCTTTATCTGGTAAGGAATTCATGATGGAGATGGTAGCTTAAATTTAGATTAAATTGTAATAGGTGGAGAATGTCTTCTGGAATAGAAAAAAAGTTGTACAATGTGCATCTACGACTCCCCATCAGGCTTAAAAAGATGATTGTAATCAAGCCTTGCTTGTTCATTTTTCTTTCTTTCAAGTCGAAATCTTTTATCAACATTGCCAAAATACCTGTTTGATCTTCCACTTAAAGTTCTGGTTGTCAGTAATAATAAGCTGGTCTCCATTCCAGAAGAAATTGGAAAGTTGAGAGATCTAATGGAGTTGGTAAGTACAATTGTGAACCATTTTACTAAGGAAGATTATAAACTATAAGCAGTTTATTTAGACTCTAAGAAAAATATAAATTAATAATTTTTAAAATATAGAACTACAAAATATAAATTCAGTTACTGATTTTTCTTAATGTTTGAGATGAAATTAGAGGTGTAATGTATTGTAGTTTCAAAAACAAGTTTAAAAACAAATCAGTATGTTGGATTAACTAAAGCTTAAGGATTTGTGTATAAAATTGCTCTTCAGATTATTTCATTTGATCCCTTGCTTATGTGTTGTTAAAAATGGTGAATTTTTCTGTTTACCTTCCTTAGAGTAATCATAATTCTATTTATTTTTATGTGTTATCAGGAATTGTATTTTCAGCTGAAGAGTTCATCTTTATTTACTCTGTACTCTTATACATGTTATGCCATTCGGTCATTGTCTTGTTCTGTGGTTTGGGGTTTTTTTTTCCCCCCCATTTCTATGATTCCTTTCTTTTGATTGGGGTAAACAGAATGATGTGTGGTATTCACGTGATTTCATCCTATGATGTACTAGAGTTTTGTGCTTTGTCCTGTGTTACTTTCTCTATATTACTTGATATTCTGGGCTTTTCTGACCATTACTCCCTGTGTTTTGGAGAACTATGCACTGGTGAACTGGTTCACCAAGCCGGCATTTGGACTAGGTCTGATTTTTTTTATTTTTTTTTTTCAGTATTATTTGTTTGGTCTTTGCAAGCAATCCTTACCCTGTTTCCAGAGTAGTTGTGTATGCCCTTGAGATTTCTTTTAACATGGCTTAATTCCTGAGCTATAAATCAAGATTCTTTTTTAATTTACAAGTAATGTGAGAGTCAGGCTTTTCTAGTGTCCTCTACTCTTTGCTGAGAAATCTTTATGCTCATTTCATTGTCATAGGATTCCAAGGTGGGATGACTGCTTTTGTTTACAAGAAGTGAATGTTTTTCAGACTTGCAGTTGTGGTATTTTTGGCTTATTTTCAAAACTGTCAAACCTAGAATGCATGCTTGATGACATGGATTAAGAACATACTAGAGAGTTTCATTTCAGTACCTGTGTTATACCTGTTAGAGCATAAGTAATATATATTTAAAAAAAAAAAAGTTGACAACTAAGCCATGTGCTAAAAGGTGCTTTTAGGAAGGGAATCCCATCTTAAATTTGGTGATGTGGACAGAAAAGAACTTGCCATAGATACACAACAGTTGACCCTAAGCAAGCCTGTGCTTCCTGAGACATCCAGCTATGTGCAGACATCGTGGCTGCCAAAAGTAAATGAGCAGTGCCTAAGCTGAAGTTCTGGAAGCGTGTAGTGGAGAAGGAGGCTGGATTTGTCTGGTTAAGGCCTGACTTCTGGTTACTGACTTGGCTTGCTTTTAAAATCAGCTTCCAGTTTTTTGTAAGATAGATGGATATCTATCTTTGTCTAGCCTAGGAAACTAGTCTCTGAAGTCAGTTTTATTGAATCAGAAACAAAAGAAAGGTTAGAAATGGTCATATCAATGTGATTGTTGACTCAGTCTGGACTACATAAATAAGTGTTAAATTAGTGGCAGAAATAGTAGTCTGTGTTCACCTGGTGCAGCTTTGTCACCCTCTAGTGCTTGTATCCAAAAAGTTGGTGTGCCTGCTATTGATCTTTGTCATTTTTAGCTGCATGGATTGGTTCAAGGTTTTTAAAGGAAGAATTTTTATAAAAGGAGCAGAAGGCAAATTGTTTGCCAGCAGTAGCACAAGAAGTTTTTAACTGATACAGGAACTGCACCAGGAACTCCTTATTCCTAGGCTATAGTTTTAATCTGAAAACCAGTCTTTCATCATTCATTGGTTTAACTTTTTGAATTGAGTTTCTGAAACATGAATCACTAAATACTGAAGAAACAGTGAGATCTGTTATGGTACTTCCCTTTGTGGAAAAAACAAGAAAGATGGGATGATTTTTTTTATAGTATGCTTTATAGTAGTAGCAATTTAGTAGCAATATAGGTAGCAGTTTTCCTTTTTCTAATTTCATTTAAGATGTTCATTTAATTTATTAATTATATCTTCTTTAGGATATTAGCTGCAATGAACTTCAGGTTCTTCCCCAGCAGATAGGAAAATTGCAGTCACTTAGAGAATTAAACATAAGAAGAAATAATCTCCATATGTTGCCAGATGGTAAGCTATTCGTCTTCATTTCTTTGATGTAGGTAAATTAGGTAAAGTGTTAAGAAGTATCTGATTCTTTTGTTTTTGGTTTTTTTTTTTTGTTTTGTTTTGTTTCCCTTAATGCAGAATTAGGAGACCTTCCCTTGGTAAAGCTGGATTTTTCTTGTAATAAAATTACAGAAATTCCAATTTGTTACAGAAAGTTACGTCACTTACAAGTTATACTTTTGGATAACAATCCAATGCAGATACCACCAGCACAGGTTAGTATTAAAGCATTCTTGTTCAGAAATGTGCATTAGGATCTTAAGAAAGTAGAAGCTGTTCTAATTTATACCAACGAGGTTTTAATTTTTTTTAGCTGTATTTCTCCTAGTGGGAAATTGTGAGTACAAACTTGGTATAGAAATCATTTGTTGGGGTGCGTTTTCAAAAGGCATGCTATGTAATTAAAATCTTTTTGTTGTTCATTTGTTTCCCAACAGATATGTTTAAAGGGTAAAGTACATATATTTAAATTCCTCAGCATTCAGGCGTGCCTCAGAATAGATAAAAAACCAGATTCTTTGGATCTTCCGTCATTAGGTAAACGAATCCCCTCCCAACCACTCACAGATAGGTGAGTAGTGGATTTTTTGCTTTATTTTACTTAGCATTTGCAATGAAGCGATCTGTTAATTACAGATACTAGCTGTAATTTCTACTTTAATTGTTCTTTATTTAGGAGTCATAGTATTTATTTTCTAAGGTTGTTAATTGGCTCATCTAAGTTGCTATGAAAAATTTTCATTGTACTTGCTGAAGATTCAGAAATCAGAACAAAGATGCATTTTAAATTTATTTGTTGGAAAACTTAGCTATTTATTTCCCAAACAGATATGTCAAAACAGTAGATGAGAAGTTTCCATAAATGTCCTGAATGTAGAGTTAGTCTGTTGGATGGAAAGTCTGCCTCCCACATACATATCAAGGGAAACTAACTTAATCATCAGTGAAATACCATGGATTTCTTTTTTTATTAGGTTAGTCTAGGTCAAAAAGTGCAGAATATTTTATTGGACTTCGGTATTGAGTGCCTCTTGAGCAATTAAATGGGAATGCTTTTGTATTTTCCGTCATCAATTGGCCCGCCATTGGAAACCACATGGAACAGTAATCTCTTTTTGCCTATTTTCTTGAAATGTCACATGTAACTTGTGCCTCTCTGTGTTCAAGGCAGAAGGAAAGGTGAAAGTTATGAATAAAGCTTACACAGAACCATCTGAACTATCAGATTCAGTCTCTGGTCTTGGTCTCGGGCAACTGTGCCATAGGGAATAAGTCCATAGTGTAAATCTTCTAAAAACTGCGTTCCACAACTGCTCCCCAAAAGCCTCCACTGACTTTAAGGCCTACAACTGAAATGTATCGCAAAGCAACAAGGTCCAGAGTATTGCCACTGTATGTCATATTTGTAGTAGTGAGAACTTGTTTAATTAAGCTTTCCAGATAGTCTTATGATGTAAACCAAGCTCCAGTGCACAGCTGGAAAATACATTCTGCTGATGCTGCCAACTTTGTCTTCAAAAGGCATATATTTTGGGGAAATATTTCATAGATACTCAGGCAGAGTTAAACTGCTATAATAAGATAATCAATTAGGGAATGTATATTTGCTACTAGTAGAAAACCATGTCTGCCAATAGAATTCAAGGAATTGCTGTTTTTCTGAGGAAGCCTTCTTTTCTGAAGACTGTATTTTTGAATGAAATAGACCAATTCTAAAATTGCATAGATACAGACAGAGTACTGTATTTGATCGTTTCCACTTTAACTTTGCTTTGATACTTTTTCTTGAACAACTCTTGTAGGAGACCATGAATTTATTCTCTGCACATGTGCGGGCATTGAGCAAAAATTCTGTATCAGCAACTGTAGATGAGTATAGAGAATGTATTTTTAAAAGGATGTTTAGTTTCTTTTAGAAAAGTGAAACTACTGTTTCTTTCATTTGCATGTCGTTTTTTGTGTTTTTTTCTTAATGTAGCATGGAGGACTTTTATCCCAATAAAAATCATGGACCAGACTCTGGCATTGGAAGTGATAATGGGGATAAAAGGTTGTCAACAACAGAAGTGAGTATTTTTCATTGTTGAATTTATGTAATTTCTGGGTTTTAGAATTTTTTTTTCCTTTGTAGTTTGTATCATTTGAGAAATACTTATCTAAGTTGCATTTAACATTCTTTGAGCATCTGTACAGCTGTGTTTAAACCATCAGACTGCCAGTATCAGACACAAATAATTTACATATTGCTTTGACTTTTCTGGTTAAGGTTCATTCCAGTACAAATTTCATGTTTTAAAACTGGATTCTGACCTAAGGAAATGTTTGGATCTTTTAATGTGTGAAGTGCATAATCATTTTCTGCACAATGACAAAAGTTTTAAATGAATTTTGTCATTAATGAAATGAATGTACTTAAGGAAATGAAAGTTTGTTTGGACCAAACTTGAGTGTTGTATATGTTAGTAATCCTCATTGTCGTTTAAATTTTAATAAACTTATGTATGATCTGCTAGGTTTAAAGCAATGAACAAATATGCCTGCAAGTTATCTGTGTGTTTGTAGAAATCTAGATTATGGAACTGTAATTAATAACAGTGATGTCAAAGCTGAATAGTGTAGAAAAAAAGATTTTTTGAAAATTAGAGAATTATAATTTTACAAATGCAGAGTGATTGTTAGTGGGAAAACTGAAGAACAAGAAGTATTACTAGTTGTGGTTTTTCTAGGAAAATTCCAAATGATTAGAAGTAAAGCTGTGATTTTCCCCCCACCCCCACCCCCGCAGTGGTGTAATAAGGGCCAAAGTAGTTGGAGGTTTTAGATGAGAAAGTACCCAAGTACAGTTTTCTTAGTCCATTGACCAGGGCTGGACTGGACCTCTTTGAACAAAATATTGTATTTCAGTATTATATTATGTACTGAACAGTTGTCTGTCACTCCCTAAACTATGATTTCCTTAAACCCCCTTCCCACCCACCCACAAAAAAAATCTACCTGACTTGATGTTATTTTATCTGTCCTGGGAACCACCCCTCATGATAGGGTCAGCTGCACTATAATTTGTGAGTTGTTAGCAAATCATATAATAATGTAATTTATATATAAGTTCTGTATTAAATGTGTCTGTCTCTGCAGCCATCTGATGATGATACAATCAGCCTTCACTCCCAGGTATCAGAATCAACAAGGGAACAGACATTAAGGAATGACAGTCATGTAATGGGAAGTAAACTCGATCCACAGAAAGGTAATATCTGTTGTGCATCTGTCATTTTAGGCAACAGAAATACTTTTGCTTAGGTAATGTAAGAAAATTGCACAAAATGATATGATCGCATGTTGGCATTGTATTATGTACAATGTAATAATCACAAACAGACAAGGCCAGAAAGATAAAAGATTATTTCTAGCTCAAGGAGACAGGATTTCATTGTTTTATCTTTATCTGACATTTTCTGTAAGTACTTATCTCTCTCAGGAATAACATTTGGTTGAGAGAACTGCTTAATATCATCTTTTCCATTCTTCATCAATCCTCACTAGACCAGGAGGTGTATGATTACATTGATCCGAATGCAGAAGAGGGAGCTGTTCCTGAGCAAGGAGATCTACAGACTGGACCATTGCTGTCTTATATCAAGGTAGCATAGCTTGACAAAAGAAAAACTGTTCAGCACGCTTGCTTTTTTGTGAATTCAAGCCTAAGTTTATTTTTCATTCTGTGTAAGGAACGGGGAAAACATCCTGACAAATCCCAGAAAGTGGAACAGAATGAGGACTGGAGAGATGAAAAAAGGTAGGAGGTCATGATCTTTTTTGGGAAGGCTTTACTGACAGTGGGGGGTGAGGGTAGTTTTATTTTAAGCTCCTTGTGTATGGAGGAAAGAAATCTCATACTGAACACATTGAGTCCTTCTTGGACAGAAAATAAGCTTATAGGAAGCGATTCTTAGTTATGGTCCAGTAATGTAGCCATTTCTGTGTCTTGCTTTACTGAAGTCAGGCAAGTCACTAATGTTTAATTTTTCAGACTTCAGAAAGAACAGCTTCTGGCTGAAGATGATGATGAACTCAAAGAAGTGACTGACTTGAGAAAAATAGCAGCTCAGTTACTGCAGCAAGAACAAAAACACAGGTATTGTAATATTAGTTAAGAATCATAGAAACCTAGGTTGGAAGGGACCTCAAGGATCACCTGGTCCAACCTTTCTAGGTAAGAGCACAGTCTAGACAAGATGGCCCAGCACCCTGTAACTGTTGCAATAAATTTATTCTTTAACCTACATTATACCCAAAAGCTCTTGACACCTTATTTTGAGAACAGTTTTGTCCAGCTGTTTAGCAGTTAAAGTGGCAGACTCTTTCAAGATACCTGTCCTGTGTGTCTTTTCATAAAATTGCTTGTGATATACCTCCTATGGAGAGGAAGAAATGAATATAAAAGACTCTTAATTTCCTGTTTTGATGTATATTAACTTTTTTTTCAAAGCCGTATAGTTAAGTAGGCATGGTTAATGCTCGTGTAAGTAGATTATTGGTAACACGTTAAAATGACTTTGTCTTAGTTTGTATGAGTTACAGAACCTGCATACAGTTTGTGACTGGTTTTTTTTATTCAAATAGGAGGTAATTTAGGTGGTACTTCCTCCATATAAATTCCCTGTGGACTGAAGGGGAAATTTGTTCAAACGTTATGCTGTTAAATGACAGAGCATATATGTATTACAAATACATATAAAACTAAATAATTTGAAATGTGTAAGTTCATCCTGATGACCTGTCTTTCTCCACTTCATGTTTGGCATCACAACAGAATAATTCTTGAAAAGGAGATGTAGAACAAGCAGCAGATTAAGAGACTGTAATAGAACAAGTTAACAACTGTGCAAAGAAAAGAGCAGATACCTAGAGTCGCATAGGATCTGTGCAGGCTAGGGTAGGAACTGTGTTCTCTCTGGTGCCTTTACCAAGCAGGCAAATAACCTCTGAGGTACTTTGGTGAGAGTAAGCTCTTTCCTGAAAGGTAGGAACTGTAGTTAATACTAGCTCATTAACTAAAATACTTCATTACGGTAGTTTGTTATCCCACAGTAATGGATTTAACTTCATACCAGAATAAATACTGTTTTTTTCTTTTGCATTTCTGCATAATGATGAGATTCTGCGCTGCTGTTTTTCTTTTAAGATAGTTGAAATACACGTGAAGCCCTTGAAGAAATTGATATCCTGATACTATGAATTGCACAGCTTTAAAAATTCACCAGTGTTTTATACTAGTTAAAAATAATAGCAGTAGTGTGTGTGTGTAAAAGATAAAATAGGTTTTACTTACAACTCCCTGCAGTGTATTTAAGAATTGGTTGTTCACAGTGGGAAGGGAAAAGGAAGAATGAACGCTTAATGCTAATTCTTATTACCAAAAGTATTGCAAAAAAAAAGATTAAGAATGCTAATTTTTCTCATATTTCTTAATAAAGAGAGTGTGGTTTTCTTAGGTTTTATATGATGGTTATTTATATTAATGTGGATCTTGTTTGATTAGTCTTAATATTTTCTGGTTATCTAATCATTTGAAATACCAAGCCACTCCTCTTCTGAAGTACTGCAACTTAAATTTTACTCATCTTAGTATCTTAATAAGGGCAAAATCACCTCTGATACAAAATTTAGCCCTAATCTTGAATCTATAGGCTTTTGAATTTGTAATTTCTTGTCAAACAGCAATAAGTATAATATTTAGAAGTTCAGTGAAGTTATGTGTTTATTTGTGGAAAATATGTTCAACCTGAGTAAACAGAATCCTCAGAGAAGTGCGCATCACAAAATAATTTCTTACTAATCATATTTCTGTTTGTTCGGTGTGGGTTTTCTTAAAATATTATGCGGTCTCTTTTCTTTTTGCTTGCTGTGCTAATGGCTTCCCTGTCCTCTCGCATCAACCTGTCCTGCTTCCTTCTTCCGTCTTTGGCTTTGGTGTACATGAAATATGAATGCAGACGAAGGCCATTAAGCTATAGAACTTCATTCAGTGAAAAACTCTTCCAGAGGACAAGGGCGGCAGGACGTGCATCAAGGTATAAAGTGTTTGTAGAGCTTCAGATTTCCAAAGTTAAAATGTGGACAAAAGAAACAGCTTTGGCCATATCTTGAACAAATACAGATTAAAGGGTTGACTAAGTTGGCCTATATTTTGTTATAAAAAGTAGATTGCAATACATTTATTGTTAAGATGAAATACTATTTAAGGAAAATATTTAATTAGGCAACTCTCCAAAAAACATTTAAACGAGTCCAAACCTAGAAACATAATTTCCTGTACCTTTGGCATGCTTTCTATTTTTTTTGTTTGTTTTTAATATATAGGACCTCAGGCAGAAGGTTGTTTGGTTTGGTGTGGTTTTTTGTTTTTTTGTTTTTTTGTGTTTTTTTTTTATTTAAGTTGTCTTGGTTTTTAAGTGATCATTTTCAAATTAGCATGACCAGTGACAACTTGTTTTGCATTTGACAGCTGTGAGGGAAGCATTTGCAGATACACAAACCTCACAGATAACGAGAAATCTGGAATGGGCTGTGTAGACTGTGCTCAGACACGTAGGTGATTCAACAAGTGATTTCAGACTTTGTTACCTTATCAGTTGAAACTCTGTAACTTACTCTGGATACTCCTGGTCTGTTTCAAATGAAAGTAGGATAGTTTAGATTAAATAATCTTCACTACTACTAAATGAGCCAGTTTCAGTTTGCATCGAAGTTAAGTATGGGTTCTTACCTGACAGCAGTGACTTTCTAAAACTAAATCCCTAAGAGCACAGCTTACGATCACAAAGCAGAACCGTATGTGAAGACAGTAGACTTGCTCCTGAGTGAGTTTAAAATCCATCTTTTTATTTTTTTGTCTCGCTGTAAAAGATTTCTAGTGTCTTTATACACTTTGTAGATCCTAGGTAACGCTTGCTTGTTTAAATTTGAAGATAGCTAACCTTAAAATAGCATTACCATAATTCACTTCGTTTGTGTCCCTTAATTATGATGTTATGTTTGCTCAAAATATGAAAGTGTAAGTGCCTGAGAAGAGATTCCACTTTTTAAATTCTCAAACTTTAGAAAATATTTTCCAATATCGTAATTGGTCTTGCCATCACCTTTCTCCCATCTAGTCAGCATTTTGGAGTAGATGTTATGCTTGCATGGTATAAAAATAGAAAAATGAGTCAGTGTTGGTTTTGAGTTTGTATATATAAATGTGTCATTGTGTATGTGCTGTTGGGGAACTTGCATTTCAAAGTTTGCATGAGTTTTAGAACCCTTTCAAAGGAATAGTTTGTATGCTACCTCTGTGACAACAGAATTTGTGTGGTTAGGAGCCATAAGTAGGAAATCAATTGCAGAACTAACACAAGTGTCTTACACAAGTCTTTATTTAATGATTCAGTATGACCATCAGTAAGTAATTGGCCTGATATTATCTGTCTAATAAAAAAAAAAATTTTGGATTTAATGAGTTGTAATATGAATGGAAACAGTTGCTGGAACCTTTGCACAGTTAACAACACAATTAAAAGAGCACGTCTTCTGAATGTGAGCTACTTGTATGTTTTGCATAGTCAGTTTTGCATTTTATTTCCTGGAAGACAGTTCTTAACAAAACTACAGTGATTTCCCCCCCACCCCTCCTTCCAGCTGATCAAATTATTCTGCTATAAATTCCTTAGTCTGCAATTTAGTAAATTAATACTAATTTTCTTCACCATTTTCTTTAACTAAAAACTTTCAAGTTCCTTATTACACAGGAAATTCAGATTTCTCTGACTGGACTAGTAACTGCTAATCTGGCAGTTACTGAACTTGCTGTTACTTCTGCAACAATATTCAGTTTTTAAACAGGAAGTTTCAAAAGTGATTGTGTTTGGGTTTGTTTTACAAAGTATAAAAATATACTTTGTATATAATAAACTAAGTTTTTAATAAACTCAAGCATTAATTATATATATGTTTCATAGAAACTGTAGCTGAAAAGTGTGTGTATATATATGTTTAAATTAGCTTGAGTAGTTTTTCCTTACATTTCATAAAATGCGTATTAAAAAAAATGGCCTGTGTTACATACAATCATTGAATTTATACTGACAGCGTCAGTTTTGGTGCAAGTGTTGCATCAAACTGTTTAGGTGACTCAAATTTCTATTTATTTTTTCTTTTTTAAAGCTCATTCTGTATTGTAACAGTCACATCTTGCTACAAAGTCTCTCTGAATTTCTCACTGCTTTCCGTTGAAGACATAAGGCTAATTTAAATGGGAATTCTTTCTAAAAATTAATGACTTGAAAATAGCACGTTTATATTATGGTTTGATAACCTATGCTATGAATATTAATTTTTTGTAACACTTTTTTCGGGCTATAGTATAATTAATTCTGGAATGCACTCTCAAAATTAAGTTTTTTGAAGACAAAATATAGGGAGCAGATGTTTGCAGACTGTGGATGCTGCAGTCTGTTGGTTTACAGGCTTAACTTCTCATAATCCCATTAAATTGAGGTTCACACAGTGAGAGATTTAAACTACAAATGAGATTACTGAGCTAAAAGTTATCACAATAATCGGAGAAGTCTGAAAGTCATTGGTAATTTAAAGTTAATGGTTGTACTGCCCTGTGTTAATAATAATGAAGTATAAAAGGTGCCTACTGGTTTACTTTCTCCCATTGACTAGTTAGTGTTCTTCTAATTCTTTCTGATTTTTAATACATTCTAGTTCTCTACATAATTCTATGTAATATTATTACGTCCAAGGATTCAGAATTAGTCATTCTAGTTACTTTTCAATGTGACACTTACTTGAAAATGGTTAAGTGTTACTGATTGTTTTATTATTTTTAACACTTTAAACATCCATAATAGCTCATATTCTTCTGTGTGTGCGCTCGTTTGGTATGTGTTGTTCCAGATGAAAAAACATTTCTGAATCTCTATGTAAGTCTAGGCTTTTTTGACCGTTTTCCATTTAGAAAAACGGAATTTCAATTAGTTCATTTCTGTGTTAGACTTGTCGTTTAGTTTAGTTGTCATTTAGCCATGTTTCTCTGTTTTCCACCTCTCCTTTTTCCCTAGATTTTCTTTGCACTTGCAGTGTTTCTTACTCAGCCACCTTCTTACCTGCTGCTGCTGACTAACTTGTGCTCAATCTGGCTATGATTTCTTGTCTGCTTTAAGTTGACTAACTTCTGTCTTCTAATTTTAGTGAACAGTGGGGCCTTTTGTGTTGAGGGCAGCATAACTTTACAAAGGAGTGAGATCAGTTGAAATAGTGTATATTTAGGGAGAAAAAGTAAGAGGAGACTTCATTTTGGTTTGAATTATCATCAAGTTTTAGTTCCTTAAAATTCAGAACTTGAAATATTTCAAGAGCCGGAAACAATATTGTTGATTTAAATGGAAGCAGGATTGGGCTTGGATTTCATATGTGTGCACACATACATATTCAAATTTTATGGAAAATGTCATTTAATGTTCAAAACTTTTTATTTACAGGAAATGTTACACAGTGAATGTAACATATGTTCTAAGAAAAATGTTTAGCTACGAAGCTGTTGAATAAATATGGGTTTTTTTGTTTGTTTCTAGGCTTCTTAATCATTCAGTTTCAGTAAGCACGAGGAACAGGCCAAAGCAGCCCATGGAATCTGAAAAATGGTATTGATATACTTCATAAAATATTGAAAGCTGTGGTACATTTGATTTAATTTTTAGACTTATTTAGTGTCACTACTGCCATCTTGTGTCAATGTTTTTAGCTCAAGATGAATTACTAGCCACGCAAATGATCTGTTCTGGAGCTTCCTTTCTTTCAGATTAAAAAAAAAAAAAAAAAATCTGTTCTTTTGAACCTTTAGGAAAGTTGATGTCATCCAGAAACTAATTTGTGGGTCTGATTATGGCAGCAATTTAGGTGCCTAAAGATAGGCATTCAGTGATGTTTTAGACATTCAGTTTCAGTCCAGAAGGTTCTGTCTTCCATAGGTAACAAGTCCTGTGCAGATGTGTGCATAATGAGAACTGTGCAGATGTGTGCATAATGAGAACCTCCATTGGAACAGTGGCTTTTGTGATTTTTGCTAGCCCCATAGTCTTCTAAAATCTGTACTTCCAAAAGAATCTGTATCTGCTTGTGTCCAGACCCTAATTTGGCTGTGAATCTTGTAGACAAAAACCATAACTGCTGTTGGTGTTGCTAGAGAGCACTGGGGGTGATAACAGCTCTCTACAGCTCAGGTACATATCAGGGAAGCATTTACTCAAAGAGAAAAGGGACACAGTTAGATATTTCAATGTGATACATACTATTTTGGCTATTTTCTCTCTCGTTGTATCTGTGGTTTTGAAGAGTGAGTTGTGCACATGTCCTGTGGTTATGTGAACCATGCTGCAGCTAATATTCATTTGCATTTGGAACTTTCCAGTCCTTGGTTACTTAACATACGGTTTCCATTCTTTGGGGTGCTGTCACCTATTGTAGTGTACAGCTATGTTAGGCCTTCATATTATAGGGTAATCCAGGAAAGGCTAAATTTACCTTTCCCTGTTTTGTTAATGAATCATAGAATGTTTCGGGTTGGAAGGGACCCCTAGAGGTCATCTAGTCCAACCCCCACGCAGTGAGCAGGGACACCTTTAACTCTATCAGGTTGCTCAGAGCCCCGTCCAATGTGGTCTTGAATGGTTTTCAGGGATGGGGCCTCCACTACCTCTCTGGGCAACCCATTCTAGTGTTTCACCACCCTCATTGTAAAGAATTTCTTCCTTATATCCAGTCTAAATCTACCCTGGTTTAGTTTAAAACCATTACCCCTTGTCCTGTCACAGCTGTCCCTACTAAAAAGATTTTCCCCATCTTTCCTATAGGCCCCCTTCAGGTACTGAAAGGCTGCAAAACAGAAACACTTCTGAGACTTAAGAACAAAATAAAACAAAACAAAAAAACAAACAAACAAAAAATCCCCTAAAAATGCTTACCCCCCTCTTGTGTGAGGTGTGCACACAAGATAAGGTAGGTGTTGCAGGCTAATTGTTGCTTTATTGCACTGGTATATAGGAACCCAAATCACATAGCGTGTAAGGAACATGCAAAGAGAGTAGAAAGACTGTCCTATCCCTGAAGAATTTACACTTATAGAGCATGTCGCAGTTAATAGATACATATGTAAAAACAGCAAAACTCAGTTATTCATTGCAGCAGTTCCTGTAATTCTCAACTGGATTGCTTATCAAACTATTGGACATGATTCAGACAACTTTCTTATGCCTAACAGCTTTAAAAAGTAGCATTATTGGTTTGAGGCAAAACAGAAAGGAAAAAGAATACAAAGTAGCAGAAGCTAAATGCCTAGTTGCATTTATTTGTTAGGATTTATTATAATTGCTCATTGCATTATGTCCTTCTTGCATTCAGTCCCCAGCGGTTAGCCTTTTGGTATACTGCACAGCTTCTAAGCCAGCTGTCAGAACGTGAATGAAGTGGTTGCTGGTAGGATGACAGAAGTGAATTTCACAGAAAGATTGAGAAAGAAAAAATTGAAGTGACATCATATCTAAACATTTTTATTTTCCTTAGAACTTTTAATAATCTCAGGCAGTTCGTGTTCCAGAATGTATTTTTTTTTTTTAGATTTTGCAGTTTTGCTGTCCCATCTTAAATGTTTTTCCCTTCCTGAGTAGTACTAAGCTTCTACTTTACTGTATAGGGCTAACAGTGAAGTGAAGTGCAGCATATGAGTCTTCCAAAAGGCTAAGTATAAATATTTTGCCAGCTTTGAACAAAATGTTTCATTGGCTACTTTGAGAAACAAAACAACAAAGGTGCATTAATAATCTCTAAAGAGCAATGTGCTTAAGAAAAAGCTTTATTCAGATAAAGTACTGCAGTGTGGAAGACCTGTTGTCAGCAGGTGGTACAGGAGAGTGAAATATGATTTGACATTTTAGTCAAATGCTCATACTTTTTAGCCACATTGTGACATCCTTATGCAGGTGGCCAAAAAATACTGTAGTGCTGCAGAGAAGCTGCTTTTTAATAATGTTCACTTTTTTGATATTTTAAAGTAACTTAGTTTTAACATACAGAAAAGTTAGTAAATTTTATAATGCCTATTATCTTAATTTTTAGCGTCTCAGCAGATGAAGTGAATTCCCCAGTTTCTCCATACAGCTGGCAGGTAAATATTCAAATGTAAATGTGGTGGCTTCATAATTAAGTGATTTGTTTTGGGTTTTGGCTTTGTATTTCTGGCAGAAAACTTGTATGCATTCATATGGTTGCTTGTATGCATAGTTATTATATGTATGGAGTTGTGGTGGAAAATACAAAAACATTGAAGAACTTATGCTTCAAGGTTATTTGGCTTGTATGTAATGGAGGCCTTTTCTTTTAAGAGCATATGGTACTAGCTTTACAATCTTGAAACTAATGAGACATAAGTTTTACTTGTTTTTTCTCTGCATAAAAATTTTACTGCCTCACCATGATGTTCTTTTTTTTAAAAAAAAAATAATAATTCTAGATGGTTTGAGTTATGTAGGCCTTCCATTCCCCACACCTCACCAAGAAGCTTGCAACATGTGATAAAACTGAAACTGTAGAGAATACTTTTTTTATTATTTTAGGTTTTAATTCATCTGGTATTTGCAGTTGCTTTAAATGGCCTGAATTCCAATATGAAGAAATAGTTGGAAATGTAGTTTTAGCCTTATTACAGAATGGTCCCTTCAGATTGTCTGCTTTCAGTTCTCATAAAATAGGCATATTCATACATATTTGTTGTTATTTTAAGAATAAATGTACTTCAGCTGTCTTCTCAGAATACGTTGCATAATACAATTCTTTGAGAGATTTGGTTTAGACCTAGTTGATGTATGTAATCTTTTAGATAGGAATGGACAAATAGTTAAATTGTCTTGTTGCAGCCATCCTTTTCTTGTGCAATGAGAAAGAAAAATCTTTACACTGAGAAATTTTAGGTATGCTAGTGGCTAACCATGCTTACAACTGTTTTTTTGAAGTCATTTATGGCAGCCTTAGGTGGCTTCCTAACATAACTGCAGAAATTAGTGCAGGAAAGGGTGTTGTTTTCTTGCAAATTGTTTCTTAGATTCTTTTTCTTCTACGTTTTACAATTTGAAAGATGATGAATTATTTCTACCAAAATCACCATTAAGACTGATAACGCTTTCATGTCATAAAGCTAGATTATGAGGCAAACAATTCATAATTGCAGTTTATAATAATTTGTGTTAATGCACACAAGGTATATTTACCTTTTACATAAAAGTATTTCTGAACCTTATAGCCACTGGAAAACCAGAAGGATTCAATGGATGAGCAGCATTGGCCAGAAACACAGCCAGTGATTTGGCAGAATGAAGAAAGGAGGAGAAGTAAACAAATTAGAAAAGAGTATTTCAAGGTAATGGAGGAGAGCGTGGGTGGGTGATTTTTTTATGAGAGTAGAAGAAACTATATAACTAAATAAAGGTAAGAAAATGGCAAAGGTTGTCAGGCTTTTAATTTTGCATGTAACCTGTAATTTTTTATTTGGCTCAAGTTAGATAATATATATATATATACACACATTAGGGTAATGTGAGAGTGCAGGAAATCCAGGAGGAAAAGGTTGACCAAATACTTTGTTTATCCTTTAAATAAAAGAAAGTAGTTTATAGTTGTCTTCTGATAAAGTCAGAAACTAATATTCAGTCATTGGTCCTTCCCCATCCATTTTGAGGGTTGGTTGGGTTTTTTTGGTAATGCAAGGAAAATATACATTACCTTCTTGTGCTGCTTAGTTATAAGAATGATTTATGCGTTTTGGTTCTTATTGGATTAGTTTGCATTTTAGGGAGGAAATTTCCTGTGTGTCACTTTGCTGCTGTAGTGTTTACCATTGGTCACCAGATGTCAGTGTCTGCTTATTGCACAACTGATGTGAAGTTACAGCAGCATTAGATAAAACTTGTTTTGGGGTATGGTAGAGAATTAAGAAAATTCTGAGAAGTGCTAGGTTGAGTTAAAAATAAATTTGTCACTTACGGAATTAGTTTCTTGGGTCTTTTGCCATCAAACATCTTTATTAAATACCAGGGACCTTCCAAGAAATTAAATTCCAGGAAAAACAGAGCATGCCATACAGCTCGGAAACATTCTTGTGATTATAGAAGCTATTAAATTTTTTCCTGAAGAGTATAATGAGTTATATCCTAACTTGAATTCTATTGACCACTTTCCAGGGTTTTTATCCCTAAATTAATTTTGCCCTGCAGCCTTTGACAGGAAGGGAAGAAACTACAAAGTAAACCAGAATTCAGTCATTTGACTCATTAAACAGCTGTGCTATCAATATAGAAGACCTGCATTAGTGATTTCTCATAACTTTAAAAGACATCTTTAAATGCTAATACAGATTTCAGTTTTGAGCTCTGTGATGGAAGCAGATACCTGAACTCACATTACATACAGCTATAGACATGTCTCAAAAGTGAATCGAACAGGCTGTACCAGAAACTGATCACTGTATCACTGATAGTTTCATTTGTGAAAACAAGGCAATAAGCAAGTGAAATCAAGTCTGTCTTCCATGGCAAACTGGGAAAGAAAAATAGGTACCACTGCAGTTCTGAGAAACCAGTGAAAATACACTTCATATTGTGTCATTGGTTTTTTTGGCAAAGCAGCTCATTGAGTAATCGTATCTGTACTCCCAAATATTAATATCTTAAGAATACATGCCAAATTACTGCGATGGATGTCATTGGAACAGGGAAAATTTACTTGGATCAGCATCCAGCAGTATTTATAGAGCATCTTTATTATACATATCCTATTTTTTTATTGTGCATTTGTACTGTGCAGAAGAAGGGCAGGAAAATGGCCAAGAGAATCAGAACTCCTTTTGTTGTGCTATTGCACTGAAGTCTCTCTGGAACCTGAAATCTTTGTTGCATTAAACATGTAAAAAGAATCTTACCACTGAACACAATTTTATCAACCAAAATGCATTTTATTTTCTGGAATAGTTTGTAGTTGTCTTGGATCCAAACTAAAATTCTTGTTGCATATCCACAATGGAAAAGAATTACTGTGTGCTATCTTTAGAATTATACAACCAACCAACCACAAACCACCAAAAAACCAAAGACAAAAAACCCCCAAAGAATCCTCCCCCCACACCCCAAAGAATCCCACAAGCCAACAACTGACATCTATTCAATCACTGTTCAAAAAAATGTGTTTAATTTGCAGAGAAAATGAGCGGCAGTAGGATAGCTAATAGCTATGTTTGTCCTAGACTTTGATTTTCAGGAGAGATGCTGTTCACCATTGTTGTCAGCATCATTTGGCATGTAGTTCAAAACCTGTTGAAAATTCAACTCTATAAAGCTGTTCTATTTTACAGTCCAACAGTGCTCAGTTATACCTTTGAAGAAGACAAGCATCTTCTATGCATAACTAATAAATACAAATTTCTGTAATAGAGCTATGTAAGTTTGCATGTTTATTAATATTAAAGAACATGGCTGCAAGTCAGGTTTTTCTTCCTTTTTAAGAAATTCTTCTAAAACCTGTATGTATCCCTAAAAGTCAGATCTTTAAAGGAAAGCCATCCTTCCAGTTCCAAAGTTACTCTCTTAATTTTACCTGTGTTATATCATAAAGATGGGTAGGCTGGCTATATCATATACACACAGCACACTTACCAAAGTTTTGTAGTGATGGATCTTTTTATAATTCCAGCTGCATGTTTTTTCTATTTTTTGTACACTTGATCTGAAAACCTTATTTTCTTAAATACTGCTTTTGTAAATTTCTTCCTTCAATCCCTCCTTCATTTCCTACACTTTCAGGATAATCAGGTAGTGGGACAGTGATGAAGGCAGTGTGCAACAACTCGGACAGAACTGTGGAAAAATGCTGGTCTTAGATAAAAGGATGTGATCAGGCTTTGAAATTGTAAAGGAAATACTGACTTTTTTTTATTTCATTTTTTACAATGTCAAGTCAATCTCTCAGTGTAAGCAATCTTAAATTTACATAACAAAACTGTAAAAGTAACTTTAATGGATTGCATAATTTTTCTAGCAAATAGTGCTTTGGAGTAGCAGTACTTAAGATCCTTTCACTTGGATCAACTGTCATAGGCAGTCAGAGTTCACATTACAAAAATATTTATAGTTCTAAAATGGTCTTATCCTCTCATCAACCTAATGAAGACCTTGACTAGCCTAGGAACTAGATGTTCCTTTTCAGTTTTGTTTCTTTTTTGCTCCTTTGATTCTGTAACGTGATTTTTTTTTTTTCTCAGCAGTGTCACCAACAATAAGTAACATTAGAGTGATATCAAGCCGTTTAATTAAAATGAAAACCATACTTCCATTTTAAAATAATAATTGTCTGTGTTTTGCAGTATAAGTCTTCCAGAAAGAGTTCAAGTGGAAATGAAAATGATGAGGTGAGAAATAGTAATTGCGTAAAATATTTAAGAAAAATGTTTTATTTATTTGTCTTTTTATGGACACCTACGAGCCACAGTCACAGGACAGGAGAACGTTGGCTAGAGCTCATGCAAACAAACTTTGCATTTCAAAGCCATAGCAGAATTAAGTATTACACTCCTTGATTTGAAAAAAGTCATCAAGATTGTGTATGGGGGAAAAGTAGGACATTTACTTCCTTCAGTAATAGGAAAGCTAACTCGCCTATCAAGCAGAGGTAATGGAAAAGTAGTATTTGACATAAACAGTGAACAGTGTTGCCTTGACTTACATATTTTTAAAATTAGTTGCTGCCAGTTTGTCACATACTTGACAAATGTTGCATGTCTCATGTATCGTGTATTTCATAATTTCATGTTTCTTGTTAAATCATAATTTTCATTTTTATAATTTCATCTCTTTGATTTCTTTTTAGCAAGACAGTGATAATACTAATGTGTCTCCACAGTCTCCTGTGTCGTCTGAGGTACAAATTTGTGGTTTTGTTTTTCATTCAGCAAACATTTCTGTGTGCACATTACTTGTCACCAGATTTTCCATGCAGATATAAAGCTGTTAGTTTCCTTTGAAACTGCAATTAGAAATATTTTATCATAATAAAAATTTAAAAATAGATAGAAACTAGAGACAGATACTACAACTTGCTTTACCTTTGCAACTCTCTGATTTCTCCCAGATTTTATTTTTGACTGGTATGGAAAGGTGCATTGCTATGTTTCCATTGTCTTTCCTAATGAAAACAGCTAATAAAACAAAAATAAAATTTGCCATATTTTGCATATGTCCCTTTTGCACTAACCATCCAGAGGATTTTTAATTAAAACTTGCGGTTTAGCGTTTTATATATCACAGGGAACCCAAAGGCACTGACACTTAAAGAGTTTCACCCTTTACAGTTCTGGCTGTTGCGTTCGTGGTGCAGCCTTGCAGCTTCATTCATCCGTTGCTTTCCTTTTTAAGGGATGTCCATGTGGTCTCACTGGGGCTGCAGTATACTACTGAGCTGTGAATAAAGCATACCAAAGATTATTGACACGTCCACCTCATGTCAATAAGGAACCAGAGAGAGCAGAATGAGAACATCTCCCAAATACAGTGAAATGAGTTGAAATAAGGATATCTCTTGCACTTAACAAATTACTGAGTGCATCTCCCTCTTTAGATGGTGAAATGAAAAAACCCTGATCTTCATAATTTAGAGTAAACATTTCTTAAGAAATATTTTTATGCTAAGCATTGGGAGGGTATTGGTATTTGCTTACAGCTGGCTTAGGACTGTGTTCACAGAACAGTTTGCATAGTTTGGAATGGTTTAGAGTAGATTTTAGTTAATCTGGTGCTGCTTTTCTTCATCAGTAAGGTAATTTTGTCTGCATGTAGTGAGGTTACTTTCATTCCATTTATGTTATGCTGTCCCCTTCAAAGAGTATGTTACAGTTAAGCAGGACTCACTTTTCATAAGCAAGAATAACTTAAACACTGTCTTGATGGGAACAAGTTAATTCTTTTAATGAATGGAAGAAAATTTACTTTATCTCTCTTAACAGGATTATGAAAGGACAGATAGTAACATTCATGGTCCATTTGGGCTCAAACCAAGGTCAGGTAAGCTGCTGTTCTCTAACATAGCATGATAGAACAGATGTTTATTTTCCAGGCTGGAATAGAAGGTAAGGATAGCAGATGCATGAATTGGAATGAATATGAAGAGATGCAATCCCCTCTGCATACTTATCACAAGCAAAGTACTGGGAAAGACATAGACAGCTGTTTTGGCAAACAAATAATCGAAAGTTCCCTAAGTTGCACAGTGGTGGTTTTTTTTTTATTTTTTTAATTTTTTTTTTCCCCCACTGATTTATTTTGTGCATATTTAGTCACTGTCAAAGAACAGGGAAACATCATGCAATAGTTCTTGAGACCTGATGGCTGAGGCAGGATGGATTAAAGAGAAGTAGATTTCTGTAATTTGTCCTATGAAAGGATTCTTTGAACGAAGCTTTGCCAGTAATATTATGGCGTAGTGCTTTCTTACACCCTGATTATTCCAAGACTCCCATACCCTCATAAGAAAGTTGTATTGTCTAAAGCAGACTTTCAGTCCTCTGAAATCTAGGTATAAATAATGCAGATTTTTTTCAGTTACAGTATTCTTTTGTTTGCAAGTGTGTATGTGAATGTTGGATGTCAACAGTGTAAAACATAGTTTGCAAAAGCCACTGTGCAGTCCTTTGTCTAGTTCTTACCACTCTTCTCTGTTTCTAAGGGAAGAGCCTTCGTGCAAATTCATTAAGAAAGAATGATCTCAACTTTTCAGTTTAATTTCATTCAGTGTTTATGATAGCAAAGCTTCACCTCCTTAATACTAGCCTGTGAGCCCTCAGTAGTAGAGTATGTCTGGCTGAGGTCATGCAACTTGCGTCTTCAGGGCCCTTAAGTCACTTGAGAGCAGTTGCATGAAACTTCTGTGCCAGAGATAGTTAGGTTGCATGTACCAGGACATGCCTGGCTGTGATCATTTAGAGGCTTCTGAGTTATCTACCTACTCGGTTGCAGGAAGGTGCAGATTTGATAGGAGGAAGCAGGCTTGTTAGGACTTTCAGCCCTTCTTTTCTCAGTGTGGTAGTAGGCTTCCTAGGAGCAACTGCCAGCTCGTGTCTGTAAAACACCAGCATGCCTTTCACTCAGTTCTAGGGAAGTGAATGGCTTTTTGTTTCATAGCTACAAGCCAAAATCTGTGTGGTTTTAGATGCTTCCATAGATACTGTTGGTAACATGCAATTATATTTTTCTGTATACAAACTACAGACTCTCATAATGTATAAAATCAGAGCAGTGATGTTAAGAATACCTATAACATTTCTGTTATTTTTGATTGTTAGAACTCTTGATAAAATCCAAACTATGAAAAACAATATAAAAACCTCTAAAGGTGTATGATTTTTTTTTTTATTTATTTTTTTTTCCCTCAAAAGTTAAAATAAAAGTGTAATACTTAAGGATACAGTGGTATTGCTACAGAAGGGGTTTTATTTGCTGGTGTTCTATAAAATAATTGAATTTTTTTGAAGGCTTTCTGACCACGAAGAATAGTGAAATGAATGTAATTATTTAACAGACCTCATTTTTAAAGAACTCTGAAGTTTTAGAGACATTTTGTATTTTTCAATTAGTTCTCTAATAAGCAATCACTGTATCTCTGCATATGCACACCTAATGTGTGTGTGTGCGCATGTATATATATTTAAAGTCTTTCATTGTAAGTTATATCAGGGAGTTCTGTCCCTTTTTTTTTAGTCTCCATAAAGATTTTATACTTGATTAAAAGTAAAACACAATGAAAATACTTTAAAAGCTGGATAGCAAGATATACTTGGAAAAGTGTAAATGCAGCTGTGTATCTCAGCAGATATTTGAATATTGAAGTCAATTCTATCTCCATATTTTCTGGTTATCCATTTGCACTTAAGATGACCTGTATGTTTTATTTGGAAGATAAGTTTCATAGCATCTTTTACATCAGGATACTCAAATACATTTGTTCTGAAAAGTTCTGCAGCTTCTTTTCCATTTTTGTCTTTCATGGTAGATTTTTAGTCATTGCATTTTTTTATCTGAATTCTACAACCTAACGTCACTAATATTCAACAGCTTTCAGCCGTGCATCTCGCCAGGACTATGGTGCAGTGGATCCTGGATTTACAATGAGGAGGAAAATGGAACACTTAAGGGAAGAAAGGGAACAAATAAGACAGCTTCGCAATGTATGTACCAGTATTTACTATACGGGTGCAGTGCATTTAGTTTGCTGTGTACCACAATTTAAACCTTTATAATAAAGGCCTGCAAATCATTACAGTTACACAAGGACATCTCTGTAGTGATACTTCTTCCTAAGGCATTTCATGTAACAGGCTACACTGGTATTATTTTTGGACCAACCAGGAACTAAATGTTTTTTTAGCTGAAAAATGAAGTGAAATGAAAAATGTAATATGTAAGTCTGCTTCTGTTTGCTGCTATTTGACCTGAGATTTGAAGAAAGATGGTCATAGTCATCATAATAGTCAAATGCTTTTTGAGTGTATAAAGTTGCTACAAGTTATACAGTACTGAATGGGATCTAAATTTCAGACTTCCAGTAAGTTGTTTTCTGTATAGTTCTGTTGTCATGATATTTAAGTTATAGTTAACTGTAAATCGTAGCAGTTCTGCTTTCCAGGGCAGTACTGATTTGGTGCGTGACTTCTATGAAGGCAGTCTTGTCTTGTTCACTTCCTGAGTAGCAAAAGCTTGTTGCTGGGGTGGGAAAAAACATTCCCCGCTTCCCTTCTCTGTTTTGCAACACAAGTGTGGGTGCTTCTTGGCCACCCTTTCCTCAGCTATTTAACTGTCATCTACATGAATGAAATAGCCATGCCAAAAGTGGTTGTGTTCCCCTCTTTCACCCCTCCCACCCTTCTGCCCTTCTCCTAGTAAAATTGTCAGTGATTTTAACACAGATTCTGCACAGTAACAGCTAATGAGGTATTCAGTCTAACATTTGTCCTTAAATTCTGCGCTTTCCTATTACAAGTAGCGAGTTCATAGTATGGCTTTGAGAGCTATATGTATCATGGTAGCTGTTGGCTGAATGTCTGTCTTGATGTATGTAGTTGTGTCATTAAAAAAAAAACAAACATACAAGCAAAAGGAATGTAAGGTTAATCATAAAGAGAAAAGGATATTTGTACTCAGTAAAGTGTGAGTTGACTCCATTTACTTCATTTTGATATTAAAATGTCCCTTTTAAACTGAATGCTTTAAAATACCCTGGATATAAAATTTTAAATTAGCTAATGTTGAAAGTAACTTACTTATGGACTTTTTAATAGAATCTTGAATCAAGGTTAAAAGTAATTTTGCCAGATGACATTGGAGCAGCATTGATGGATGGAGTAGTTCTTTGCCATTTAGCCAATCACATAAGGCCACGTTCTGTTGCCAGCATTCACGTACCATCGCCAGCAGTGGTAAGTCATTTATCTCACTTTTGTTGCATCTTATGTGAAAACAAGCTTTTGAAGTTCAATACTGAAACATCTTGAATCATATTTAACTATATTAATTGGCTACCTTCCTTACTTCAGTTTTTCTGTAAGAAGCATTAAACGAGGCTTAGGAGTTTAGTTTAAGAGCTGTTTTCATATACTGAGTCTTCACAGAATTTGTTTTGTGTTTTAGTAACTGTTACTGAATTTGCATTAGAAATATACAATCCTTCATGAATGTATGATGAAGATGTAACATCCTGTCTTTACAGCCTAAACTCAGTATGGCAAAGTGCCGAAGAAATGTTGAAAACTTTCTTGATGCTTGTAAAAAATTGGGCGTTCCACAGGTATTGTAATTGCTTTATTGACTTACTATTAATAACCACAGAAAATGTCAGCAAATATTGAAGAGAGTTTTGGGGGGGGACGACACTTAATTCAGGGAGCTATATTGATTATAACACTCGCCAGGGAACTTGAAGATATGAGAAGTTCTATTTCTGGCCTGTGGTATGAGCTTGAAGTCAGTTCCTTATCGTAAAAATAATACTGACCTCCTCATAAAATAAATTATCATCTAAATAGAAGAACTGATGTGGGAGGATGATGTTATAATATTTGAAAGTCTTGAGCTATAATATCTGGAAGTTCTATATAGTGTGGAGCCACAGGCCACAGAAGCTAGAGATGCTAAGATTTACCTCCTGAATTGCATGTAACACTAGCTAGCAGTTGGGAAGATTATCCAGCTTGTGCTGAATTTTGGAACTGAAAGATGACTTTCTCAGGGAATGGCTCATTACTGATAACCCAGTCTATCAGCACTTCCAAGTTTTCCCAAGGGAAAAATTGATAATAATCCTACAAAACAAGGGAGGGGGGAAGTAGGCCACTGAGCCAGCAGTGCCCATCAGCCTGTTTTTTCTCTGTCTGCTTATGAAAAGAAACACTCTTTGGTCTTTTATGTATATTCTGATGTTGTCATAGTTTAACACTTTAAACAGATCCTAGATATAATTAGTTTCTGACCATTCTGTTACTGTAGAGAACCACGTGTGAAATTTAAGGCCAAAGACATTATTCTGTGTGTCTTACAGTGATGTATGTGTGACTTCAGAGAGAATGTGTTTGTTACCTGCCTTGGGGAAAAAAAATGAATGAAGCTTGATAAACGTACTGCTTTATTTTGCAGGAGAGACTTTGCTTGCCTCACCACATTCTGGAGGAAAGGGGTCTGGTGAAGGTTGGCCTCACAGTTCAAGCTCTGCTTGAATTGCCAGCGTTGAAAGTATCTCAGCTTTCCTCCATGTGACATGACTTCTTGGAAGCTAGACAACTTACCATTCGATCTGTTGATTCGGATTGCTCTGAGGCAGTTCAGCTTCCTACGTAGGAACATCCAAGCCATCAAAAACTAGTATCTGTCCAGATGCTGTAGAGAGCCTTACTTTGGAGATGTACGTGAAAACCTTGGAGTCAGCTGCCAGTTAAAAGACCATAATTATTCTTTTTTTCCTTTTGTAATTGGATGAACAAAGAGATTGTGGTAGCATCAGGTTCTCTTTCCAGTTAATTTAAGTTAAAAGCTGCCATTTAACATCTCACAGTGTTACAGTTAAATGCTGGATTTCCTTTCCTACATTGAAAATATTGTTTGAATTATTTTAGAATTACAAAGCACGCCCCCCCCCAATTTAATCTTTCAAGTCAATCATTTGATTTAAAGGTAGGACAAAAATGTAGCAATGGTATGATGGTAAAAATGCGAGCGACTGATCACTTGTAATCCACTTTCACTCTCAGAAAGCTTAATATTTGCATTCTTTATTTTTTGCACTCCTGATTGTAACTTATACCCTTCTAACATTGCCAGTATTTAGTCTGAGTGTACGGTGATTACACAAAAAAAGTATACAATGGGAAAAGGACACATTTTATTGAGTTTTTTTCCAGTCTTCTAGGTTGGTGCCAAATATTTTTTTCAGTTGTACTGTAGATTGTTTACATGTGAAGTGCCTGTGTAATTGATAACTCTTAATAGTCTTAAACATTTTTGAAATTTCTTTGTTTAAAATAGATAAAATGGAAATTTTTAAATATTTTAATATTTTTTTGTAAAATCAGTACGTGAAGATTTAAGTAATACTTCACATTTTTGATGTTGGGTGTTTTAAGTTTGCACAATTTAATTGGTTTTGTTGTCTAATAATTAGAAAATACTGTAAATACTTTTTATTTATGATATTTAATTTGATAATACCTAATCATTTTTTGTTTAATGTATTGTTGGACAAAAAAGTTGTCTATGTTTCTTTGGGACAAACAAATATATACGGTGAGTAAGACACAAGGACTAGTGATGCATTACAGAGTAATTTACGACATTTTGATAAAACTGCCAAAATCTCAGGTTTATGCTGTGACTTTCAGGATTTTGTGTAATATTGCTCCTGATCTCACATTACATTTTTACAACAGGTATATCCGTAATTTAGTTAAGAAATACCAGTGTTTATCTTTTCAGTGTTTACAGGATTTATTGTGTAACTTACACAAGTGTGGCATAGCACACAAATCAGTTTGTACAAATGTCACTGTGCTGAGACATCAGACTTTTCTGGGTAAATGTGAAAACAGAAAATTTCCACTGTGGTGGTTTTTTGAAACTTCTGAGTTTTATGTATTTGCTTCTGCACAAAATCTCGGTGTTTTGAGAAATTCTGAAACCATACACAGTTGAGTAGAGTTCTTCTCCAAACAAGTTGCCAATAATTTCATAATTTTAGTAATAAATATGTTTGTATTGGTTCATTCTTCATCAATAGATATCTCAATTAAAAAAAAAAAGTTCTGACTGTCACAGATTTTCTGTTTCAGGCTAAGTTAATTTCAGTGAGGGATATGTTTGCCAAGTGTGTAACAAGATTTGATTCTGTTCTTTCCAATTGATCAAGACCCCATGTAATATAATTCAGAAAAGAATGAAGGAGGTGTATCGTTTACTTGTTACTTCATTTACTGTGGTCCTTAAAATCAATAGCTGAGACAAAAATAACCTTTTTCTGATTACAAGATTCTTTTATTAAAAGATGCATTATTTGTAAATCCATCAAAACAAGCTGATCCATGTGTAATGTTTAAAACCCACTATTATTTATATAGTGTTTTCTTAAAATACAGCTCATGGAGAGACTGGTGGAAGACTTAATTTGCAAAGTCCTAGATATAAATCTTAGGTTACATAAATATTTGTTTAAGGAAACTGGATTGCTTTGACCTTTGAAACATGGTATTGCAAATCTCTCTAATTGTTTTTTAAATCATTCACATAATACTTGTTTTAATAGCTTTAATAACTATTTTTCATTAAAGGCAGTATCTGAAAAGTCATGCTAAGACTAAAAAGTAGTAATATAATTCATTAAGCAAAATGCTTATTGTTTGCTACATTTGAAGAGCACAATCATTCAAAAAGAATAAGTCATTGTCTTTCAATTCCTCGCTATGGTATTTGACAACAATAAAAAAGTTCTATTTCAGTATATTAGCCATAGAATTGCTAACTGTAAATTGTCACTTTGTTATCTGGCTTAAACTGATCTACACTACTATTTCGTTGTCATATTTATATATGTTCTCTGATCTTAAAGTAACTTTTTCCCTACTAGAACTAAATATATAGTTATATCACAGTGTAAACATCAAGAATTCCTTAATGTAGCATGCCAGATGCTTACCAGGTTTTTTTAAGCTTAGCTTATTTCCTAAGTAACTTGAAAACTGGATATGAAATTAATGTACTCATTTTAAACTGTATCTCTGAAGTTGAAATCTACTAAAATAACTTTTTTTTTTTTAGTACTCTGCATATCTTCCCCACAAACTTGCTAGAAACAGTCTTGCTTTGCCATCCACTGGAAATTATTATGGCTGCCTTCATGCTTATGGAGAAGGGTAACCATGATTCTTCCAGGACTTCCTTTTTAGCATTGCAAAAATTAAGGCCTTCAAGTATCCTTAGGAGCAATCTGAGAAAAGGTCCACTGTGCCCAGATGAATCTTTTCTTGTCTTTCTTTAGCTGCTTTTACAAATAATAATAATCTAAAGCCTTGCTAAAACTGGCTGTTCCGATCGTGATTTTTTTCTTTTCAGGAGCAACTGCAAAAAAGATGCTAAAAGTTTTGAATTGTAAGTTTTAATTTTAAAGCAGCCTGTGGAAATCATTGCTGTCTTCCCCGTGCAAGAATTTGCCTACTGTCCCCTTTCTCCCTTTCCATTTGATTCCCAGCATCTTATTTATTTTTGTTTGCTCACAGATCTAGTGACTTCACATTGTTACTGCATGCCACTTTCCTCCTTTTTTTCTTTTAAGAAATTTTGCCAGTGGCATTAGTGAACTACTGTGATTCCAGAATCCCTGCTCCCAACAGGTGTGGTTAAGGTATCCTTTTCCTATTTTGTTTAGGATGCAATGTCATTACTTAATACTTGGTACAGCTGATAGGATGGTTAAAACCAGAGGCCTGCCCAATTCCTATAGTAGTCACTCAGTTTTTACTTAAGATGTGAAGAAAAGTCAACATCAACAAAGCTTTAGGAAACTCCATTAATATTTCCTAATAAATTTAAAAGTTAACTATAGTGCTTTTGTTATTGTGAATGCTGTACAAAGTTACTGAAGTAATGTGGTAGGAACTGTAAATGACAGAGTGAATCAACGTACTGACAAGGCTTCTGGCCTTGTGTATTTTTTTTGTCATTGGATGCAGTGTGTCGCACATGAATGATTTTTCATTTAAGCAATAATGTCCCAGATATTGTGAGATCTTAAAGCAGTAGCATTAAAATAATTGCTGTAAAGTGTGGTGACTTCCCACACAGTATCTCAGAAATGCTTCACATCTATTGTATAACGCTGCCAATCCAGTGTGTGAGCAGGGGCACTGCTGGGGATGCAGAAAGCCATCTAGACCCGTCTATCTGGAGGCCTTCCAAAATACAACCAAGAACTAAAATTATCATAAAATATGGAGGAATACATTTGAAACAATAAGTATCCATGACATGAATAATAAGAATTTCTGGGTAAAATCCTAGCTTCACTGAAGCCAATGTGAGTTTTGCTCTTGACTTCAGTAAAGATTTCTCCTTTTTAATTTATGGACTAGCTGAGCTGGAGACCATAGCAAACATGGCTTAAACTTGTTTGATACTAGCAAAGCTTTAGTGTCAAATTCTTGACAAAAAATAGTGATCTCTTGTAAGTCAAAGGAAGCTGGAAAATATTGCACAGAATCATTTATTTAACACAAATTTTCTCATATGCCATATGCAGAATTGAGGTGGTAGGAATAATTACTATGAAGCACAGCTTTCATACTATGGGAAAGGATGTCACCTCAATAAAATTGCAGGTGAGGACTACCACCAGTTATTTACTGCACTAAAAACTTTATTTCAAATACCTTATCTTTTAGCAGCAGTCTTCTCAGATTTTGACTTAAATCTGTAGCTAAATTCAAACAAAAAATGAAAAAGCATCTGTTTTCATTAAAACAGAATTTCCAAATGGCTTATCAGTACTGAAGAGAAGGACAAAGATCTGGCACTTCTTACTGCTGCTGATTTCTTAAATGCTTGTATGAAAGGTGGCTGTTTTGTCTAATATAGCTGCAGTCTGCCTGTTTTTCTGAATCGGTCTGTGTACGAATGCAGAGATAAAGCATGTTAATAATTCAGCTGATTTCAACTGAAAGCAACTTGTGGGAATTTTTAGCACTTCCTGCAGATAGGTGATATTTGTATTGATAAATCAAATTTCTCTTTTTTGTTTCCCCTCACTAAGGTTAATGTATAAGTTTCTTTCAAGAGTTACATCATATTAAACAGTGATCTCTACTTGAAAAACAAAAGCGAATAGACAAAATGCTACCCCAGCACACATAAAACTAGTGAAATATTTCCTGTTTACAGGTGACTCTTTGGAATTAACAAAAAAATAAAGTCATTAAGGTTAGGAATGGGAAAGGTACAGTTGTCCAAGGAGAGAGTGCTCTGAGTTAATTTCATGTTGAATCACTTCCCAATGAAAAGCCTTTAGATTTAGTAGAGAAAGAAATCGATGTTTTGTAGCTACTCCATGCTGAGGGAGGCGGATCCTTAAGTACATGGAGGTTTCCGTAGCGGTTACAATAACAAGATATTTGGCATCTTTGTTTTCCCAAAGTCTGTATGGTTTTGGATGGCTCTATCCCAGTGCTGCAGAAAGCGTTGTTGCTGGTGCAGAGAACCTTGCCCGCTCCAAGCCCTGGGTAGGGTACCTGGCTCGTGCGCTGCCTCTGGCTGTGCAATGCCGAGAGTGGCCTGCAACTCCTGAAGGAAACGCCTGGCTTCAGGCTGCTGCCTCCTCCTGCATAGGGTGCAAAGTTCTTTTAAATAGATGTTTGCAGTCTGAATAAAAACACTAAGAAAAGCGATAACGTTACTTGAGAGTAACACATAAGTAGATGTTTACCAATATTTAACTTCCACCAGCAAAGAATGATGTAGTGAGACAGAGGAAGCTTGCACTAGGAACTACAGAACTTCACTGATTGAAAATTGCACCATGACTCTTAACAGGTTAGCGTGTCACTTGTCCTCTCGCATGAGCGAATCCAAACAAGTAATACTGTTCTTGTTCTATACACAACACACTCTCTGGGGATATATGTAAGTCATTTAGAAATGGAGGAAAAACTGTATTTTTTATAATCAGGAATTTTATGGCACAGACTTTTTGATAAAATAAAGACGAAGGTAAAATATTTTCTTCCTGTGAAGAAAATTTCTGCTGATCTTGACTGTTAAAATAGAGAACATATGTGATTAACTGAGTTTTAGTTTAAACTTGCTTCTGCACAGGAGCAGTTCTGGCTCCTGTGTTTCTTGCGTAATAAAATGCCGCTTTGCTTTATTTGTCTTTAAGTATTTCATATGCTACAATCCCGACAACACATCTTAAAATTGTGGTTAATGCAGTATTTGTTCCCTCATTGGTCTTGACCTTTTTTCTTTTTTTTATCATGGGAGGCAAAGGGAGGCAAAATTGCTATAAGCTACTTGATTAATTTCTATGGATGGAATATGAGTTGTTACAAAAATTACATAATCAGTCATTTTTAGTTCAAATGTTTTATAGCCAACTCCATTTTCAAAGAAGAATTTTAAATGCAGTTTTTCCATATGCATTTTGGAATCCTAATCTTACAACAAACAAACAAAACCAGGACTACTTTAGTATCTTGGCAAATATGAAAGGAGAAGAATAACTGAAACCAACAGCAGATTTGTTTTGGGAAACTTTCCATTTTGGCAGTGTTAAGTTTACAGTTGGACTCGATCTTAAAGGTCTTTTCCAACCTAAATGATTCTTTGATTCTGTGACTTCAGTGAAACCAGAATTTTCCTCAATAGTTTAACGGAGCTACAACATGAAGCCAATCATTTAAAATGGCACTTGGCACTGATGAGGATTTCCTCCCTTCTTTCAAGATGGTGTGAAACAAGGCAAATGTAACTTTTTTTTCCCCACAGTCGTTTTATGAAGGCAGATTGTGAAATAGAGAATATTTGGAAATAATCACAAGGATACTTTTTTTGGTTTGTTTAATTTTTAAATACAAGTGAACTGGTGAAATCTTTCCAGAATTGCTATATTTGTTTAGGATTTGATCATGCTATTCCTTGCATGGGAACTCCCATTTTTCAGTATTAATACGCTTTCCGGGGCATGTGCAAGACTGTGCTCTTCACATGCCAATGTTAATACAGTTGTGTTTCCTGATTCGATGTGTCGCATTAAGCATTGCTGCAACTGTGGGAATTCCCAGCTGCAAGTGTTCATGTTTGCACCAGCAGGTAACGCAAGGCTTTCATTCTCATGAGGGGTGTACACAGGCATTGCAAAAAGGTTGTTTGGTGGATTACATTGGGAATAATGTGAATACTTTTTACTATGGTGTAATGTGTAGAACAAGGAAAACGTGATTACTTCACGATTATCATTCAGTTGGTATTCAGTTATTTTATTTTGTAACTTGTGATTATAAAACTCAGAAAATACAATGTAATCAAACAATCAATACATAAATGTGTGCAGGACATGGCAGAAGTAGTTCTGAGGCACAGTTGGAGAGTGATCATTTAAAAATAGATGCTTAAATTATGTATATACTTGCAACATCTTTGATAGTGCATTTAATTAATTTTGTATTCCATGTTCTTGTAAAGTGCATCTTCCACACTTCTGAAGATTGTCTACTTGTACAATACTGTATTAAGTCTTTTTTCAGGACTTCCATTATTGCTGGAGCTTCCAACATATATGTTTCTTTTGAAAAATATTCCTACTGGTTTCTTGTAAATAGGTTTTTGTATTAAATTTGCATGGATAAAACCCATATTTCCAAAACCAGTGTACATACTCTGTGTATAAAATACAAACTGTTTCATAACTTTCATGTAGTCAAGTTATTCAATTTGATTTCACTTCGGTTTTTATATATTTGTAGTAAATTATGAGAATGTTATATGTTCTTTCAAATGTCTGTGTTGCCATTTTGATAGATA